CTCACCTATTTTGGTCATGTTGTCAGAAGGGACCATTCCCTGGAGAAGGATGTCATGCTTGGTAGGGTGGAGGATCGACGAAAGAGGGGGAGGCCTTCAAGGAGATGGATTGATACGGTGGCTGCGATGATGGGCTTAGCAGGGATTGTGGGGCTGGCGTGGGATCCGGCCGTGTTTCGTTCTGCTGTGCATGGGGTCGCTATGAGTCGGAAACGACTCGACGGCACTTAACAACAACAACACTTAAAAAATAAATTGGCATGCTTACAGAAATACCTAGGGGTGCTTTGGGGGACACCCGGTGTATAACGCATGCTGTGTTTAATCCTGGTGCTCACCTCACTGTCTCTCACTGTCGGGGTGAAAAGGCCCCTCTGAAGAGTGGCAGGTGACCTTTGCCCTCTGAGAACAGACCTGATGAAGGCGCCCTCAGAAGCTCACTGGCGTCTGTTGCAGTGTCAGTGTGGGCGTGTCTGTCGCAGTGTCAGCGTGTGGGCGTGTCTGTAGCGTGTGGGCGTGTCTGTTGCCGTTTTAGCCGCGCAGGTAGTCCATTTGCTACAGTGTTTCTCCGGTGTATCACTCATGCCTGGGGACAGTTAATCCTGCTTGGGAATTGTTTCAGAGCTTGTCTGTGAGCTGTGCCCCCTGCGTTACCTGGACGACACAGTGTCCTAACCGGCAGGCACGCTTGGAGCCTTTACTCAGATTCTGACATCTGACATGGGAGTCGTCACAATGCTTTGAATTGCTTGGAATTCATTAAACTAGTTGCATCTGTGTTACAGTTTGTGGTTGCCCAGAACGACAGGAAAACACAACTAAACATCAGATGGTGTTAGAGGAGGTACAGGACATGGTGTTGATTCAAGCCAGAGCGTACCACGTTGCCTAAAACCGCCGCAGCCCTGGCATCTGCTGCGGACCCATCCGGTCATGCTGGTGTTGGTCAGATGGACCAGGGAAGCCTGTTGAGCCCCGTCTTGGCCTGTGTCCGCACGAGTGGCCCCTGCCCTGCAGGGCTTAGCACTCCCAGCTGGCCCCAGTCTACCTGCTGTCCTTGACCTGGGCTCAGGAAGGCCATGGATGTGCCGAGGAAGTTAACGTCACGCTCAAAAGTTTCCTGTCAGCAGCAGAAAGAACGAATGAGGTGGGGGGTTCATTGATCCCAGACTCTTCCCAGCCACCGACGCTCCAGCTGTGTTGTCGAACCCTCGCGGGTTTTATATGCATCCCTTTCTGCGTGTTCCTTTCTCCCACTTCATTCTGAAAAGTTACACACTCTGTTCTGTGTGGTTTATAATTTAAACTTCTGTGACTGAATAAACCAATGAGACTGAAGTCAGAAAGGGGCAGAAATGACGATGGGTGATGACGAAGGTGCCAGCGTCCCTTCATCTGTGACAAGTTAGAGGTGCTGGCTCCACGGAAGAAATGGTGGAGCAGAAAATAGGTCACATTGTAAAGGAAGGGACCAGGATCTGACCGGAGGCCTGCCCTCCAGCCATGGGGTCCCAGGTGAGCTTGTGTCACCGTTGGTGCGGCTGTGGGGTCGGCAGCATCTGGCTGGCGGAGAGGCCCTGGCTGTCGCTGATTGAGAACCCCCCCTGGGCTGGGCTCCTGGGGTGTTGGCTGAGGTCAGGTGTGCTCTTCCTGATGGGCGCTGCTTGGCTTCCTCCGTCTGTCCGCTCGTCAGTCTGTCCGCTCGTCAGAGATGCTTGGCTGGGACCTCCTGTAGAGTCATTTGATTGGGGCTGGGGGAGTGGTGATCACGTGCTCACGTGTGTGTGTGTGTGTGTGTGTGTCGTGTGTGCCCCTGTCCTTACCTTGTGTGTGGGTGGGTGGGTGGCTGACTGAATCCACCTCAAACTCGTTCCCCTCACCGTTGCCTCTCTCGGAGCCCTCCCACGCCCCTGAGAAGGGCTCTGCTTCCCCTCGGCACCCAGACAGCTGGGCGTGGCTGGCTGCACGCCCCTTGCTGACTGGCCATACTCTCCATAGCCACCTGGGACTCCTTTACCCACCAAAGGCTCCGGGCCCTGATGGACGTCCCTGCCCTCGGGGGCCCGCTTCCCCCTTTTCCTTTGCTGGTCAGCTGTGGCTGCTCCTCAGAGCCCAGGTGTCGGCCTCCCTGCCCTGCCCTCCCTGGGGCTCCACAGCCCCTGTGACTCACCCACTGTCAGCAGGGACTTGGTGTTTTCCATTGTAAGGGTCCCGTGTTTCGTGATGACGGGGACTGTATTAGCTCACCCACTGTCAGCAGGGACTTGGTGGATCAGGGCATTCCTGCAGCCAGGAGGTCTGCAGGGTGGAGAGCCCCCTCCACACGGTATCCTCCGTGCAGCCCTGGACTCTGAGGCACAGGCACCACGGCTTCAACGCACGTATAATACACGTGCGCTTCTGGGGCGGCTCGGTTAAGACCTGAAGCACGTGGCGGTGGGACTGAGGCGCTCACTCCAGCGAGCAGAGCCGTGGGTGGGGCATGTGCACACAGCTTCTGAGGTGTGTGTTCTCACTGGTTTGCAGAGCACGTTAGTTCCCAGTCAGCAGTTGATGCGTGTTTTTCATGACGTTACTTGCAATCCCCTCATGGTAACAGGACTCTGCCCGCTTCCTGCCTGGGTTCCCTGTTTCTGTTCACCTGTCTTTCTGCTGAATTCTTTGTTAGAATCACCCCACGCGTCCATCTGAAACTCCTGTTATGTTGAACCCCTATGGGAGTGTGGTCACGTGTGCTGCGTTTGGCAGCTTGATTTCCACCGACACTCAGGAGACTGTGTGTACTGGGGCGGGGACCCGCTTCACAAGGACACGTCTGCCCTTGCTTGGCTGGGACCTCCTCTAGAGTAATTCCGTTGGACCCTGTCTCTTGGGGCTGGGGGAGTAGTGATCACGTGCACACGCATGTGTGTGTTATGTGTCCCTGCCCTTACCTTGTGTGTTGGGGGTGGCTGGGGCTGGTGTGTGGCAGCTGGAAGAGCCTCATCTCGGACACCACAATCCTGGCCGTGGGATCAGGCGTGGCCTCCCGGCATCTGACGTGGATGGTGCATGTGACCACCCCTCACGCCCACTGTCCTGGGTGCCCCTGGGCTTGGGGAAGGAGTGGCTCTGGGTCAGTCCTTCCCTCAGGGCTCTCAGTGGTTGTCCCAGGCCGTCCTGACTCTGAGTTCCAGGCTCCATCCACTAAGTTGGGACATGGACCAGACCCATTCGTTATCTTCGTTTTCATTAACTTCTGTCCATTAGTGTCCATTTCAGCTCAGCTTCTGACGTTGTAATGTTAGTGTACAGTACAGGAGGCTCGTCAGTGGGGTCTGGGGCGTTCGTTAGGGACACAGGAGGGCTTAGACTGACGTCAATGGCACTGGTGTCACCCCCAGAAGACAGAGTTGGTGAAATACTCCTCTGGCCACAGTTACAGATCCTGTCCCCTGCCACAGCGGACGTCCTTGGCATCTCTCACTGTTGAGATGCTAACCGACAGGGTTTCTCAGAGAGGCCAGTCCCTACCCTTTTGCTCCAGAGAAGCCACCAAACTTGTGCATTGTGCATCTGTGCCTTGTGTCATTAATAGCCACCAAAGGTGATGAAACCGGCATGCTTGAGAATCGAGTCTAGACAGGGCAGCACATCAGGTGGCAGGCTGTGCGGCCTCTGTGGCCATCGTCCCCCGGCACCACCCCGCGAGGGGCCGCTTCACCCGTCAGTGTCCCTGGTGTGGGTGTGTTTCTTTGTGTTTTCTGGAAGAGGTTGCATTAAGAGTGGAGACCGGCTGCCCCGGTGGCAGCTGCATGCTTAATGGAGGCCTCCCTGCCTCCCTCACTGGTGGGGTGAGCGGAGAAGGGCCGGCTGAGGAGGCCTGGGCTCTGCTTTCCCACGTGGTGCTCTGCCAGCTGGCAGCCCTGCACAGAGCAGATGTCCTGGGCAGCTGTCCCTCCTGGGACCTGGGCGGGGGTCTAGGGTACCCCTCAGGCAGCTGGGGGGCAGAGGAGGAAGAACACGCTGTCCGTCCGTCCACTCTCTGGAGGAGGGGAAGGCTCTCAGGTCGCTGCTATCTAGACCGCGTGGCCCTCAGAGCAGACTCACAAGGTGAAAGGCCTCCCAGGGTCACCCCGAGATCCTGGAGGACTAAGGGGGTGTGTGAGTCTGGAAAGCCCAACAAGTGCTGAGAGGAAGCACCGAGCAGGAAGACAGTGGGGGCCCTGTGGAGGCCCCGATGGGGCTGGACTGTGGGGTGGGCAGGCGGTGACTCTGGGCTCTAGTGAGGAGGGGAGTGTGGAGCCTCTCAGCCCCGAATGAGCCTGAGGCCATCGTGGTCTACGGTCCTTCTCAGACACTGGGGCCCCTCACACTTCCCCAGCTCGGGCTGGTCCTCCTCCTCCCAGCAGCACTGCAGCCCTGGGCTGCTCTCGACACCACCACGCGTGTCCGGTGTTCTGATGGCCTCTTCCATTTCCACACCTCTAATTCCCCAGCGAGTGATAGACAGTCAAGCCGAGAAGCTAAAAGAACTGGACAAAGAAATCCGTCCCTTCCGGCAGAACTGGGAGGAGGCCGACAGTATGAAGAGCAGCGTGGAGTCCCTGCAGAACCGAGTGACAGAGCTGGAGAGTGTGGACAAGAGTGCCGGGCAGGCCGCACGCAACACAGGTGAGGGCAGGATGGGCTGTGGGGGACCAGGCGGGGGCAGGAGGGGGCCCTGAGGGACGGGGTGAGGGCAGGACGGGCTGTGGGGGACCAGGCGGGGGCAGGAGGGGGCCCTGAGGGACGGGGTGAGGGCAGGACGGGCTGTGGGGGACCAGGCGGGGGCAGGAGGGGGCCCTGAGGGACGGGGTGAGGGCAGGACGGGCTGAGGGACCAGGCAGGGGCCCTGAGGGACGGGGTGAGGGCAGGACGGGCTGAGGGACCAGGCAGGGGCAGGAGGGGGCCCTGAGGGACAGGGTGAGGGGTGGGACAGGTCAGGGCAGGATGGGGTTCATGAGGGATGGGGTGGGGGATGGGACGGGCTGTGAGGGATGAGAGGGAACAGGACTGGGGCTGTGAGGGTGATGGGAGTGTGGGTGTGCACATGGGGCTGCTATGTGGGGATCCTGGCAGGTCCTGGGGTGACCTCATGGGACAGGTGCACAGTGACCTGCTGCCTGAGGGCAGCTCTCCCCATCCAGGCCGCACTTGTGCCCAAGTGGTTTTCCTGGTGAGATTTCCCAGGGGAGACAGAAATGCATCCCTAAGAATGAGTCCTTCCTGTGAAGCCCCGCGTGTCAGGAGTGGGGAGGACCCCTCTCAGGACCTGAGAGGGCCTGGGGGTGGCACCAGCCTGGGTGGGCAGCAGACAAGGACACTGGCCGCCAGGTGCCCTGCCCTGCCCTGGGGACTGAAAGTCTTCTGGACCCTTGGGGGAAGGATAACTTGGAGAGGAAGGAGGGTGACACTACGCACAGGGGGTTGGGGTGAAGTGGGCAGAGGTGGGGTGGGGAGGACAGCAGCTCAGGCTTTGGGAGCAGAGGACTCAGAGTTCAGGGCCAGATTCTGGCGTGTGGCTGCGGGAAGGAAAGGCCATGCCCTGTGGCCCTTGTTGCTGGGATCGTGCTGGGGAGAAGGGCTGCAGGCCCCTAGGATGTGCTGCAGACAGCAGGTGTTTGAGAACCCCTGGGTCGCGTGTGCCTTGCTCCCCGCTGACGGTCACCATGGGCCTACCTTGCCGTTTGGTTCAGAGGCCCGTGTGGGTCAGCGGTCTGTCGTGCTGGCTCCTGCTGTCTAACCACCCCCATCCTCCTCGGCAGGCTTGCTGGAGTCCCAGCTCAGCAGGCATGACCAGATGCTGAGTGTGCACGACATCCGCCTGGCGGACATGGACCTGCGCTTCCAGGTGCTGGAGACCGCCAGCTACAACGGGGTGCTCATCTGGAAGATCCGCGACTATAAGCGGCGGAAGCAGGAGGCCGTCATGGGCAAGACCCTGTCCCTGTATAGCCAGCCCTTCTACACCGGCTACTTCGGCTATAAGATGTGCGCCAGGGTCTACCTGAACGGGGACGGCATGGGCAAGGGGACGCACTTGTCGCTGTTTTTTGTCATTATGCGAGGAGAGTATGATGCCCTGCTGCCCTGGCCGTTCAAGCAGAAGGTGACGCTCATGCTGATGGACCAGGGCTCCTCCCGGCGCCACCTGGGCGACGCGTTCAAGCCCGACCCCAACAGCAGCAGCTTCAAGAAGCCCACCGGGGAGATGAACATTGCGTCGGGCTGCCCCGTCTTTGTGGCTCAGACTGTTCTAGAAAACGGGACCTATATTAAAGATGACACCATTTTTATTAAAGTCATAGTGGATACTTCGGACCTGCCTGACCCCTGACGAGCCGCCGGCAGACGGATTCGCAGAAGGTAACTCCGCTGGGGGTTGACCCGCTCCGTCTTCACTGAGGTCCTCACATTCAGAAGGGACCTCGAGGAATGGCGGAACGGCAGGAGGTGGCCACGCGGCCGGGGGGAGGAGCCCATGTCCACACACATCCTGACATGTTTTCTGATAGACTAGCCACACTCTGAAGACGCGGAGGTAAATGTCGCTGTCGGAGGAGATCCCCATACTCATTTCTAAAGATCTAGTTCATTAAGGTGGAAACATATATGCTAAACAAGAGACATGATCCTTCGTCCTTAACCGTGAACACCAGACACAGAAAAACATACACACACGTGGGATAACCGGACATGTCAGCATGTTAAGTCAAAGAAGAGTTTATGAGGTAATGACGCAGTTCTGATATATTCAACCTACAATTCAAGAGTGCACTCTTGTTTCAAATATAGTACATTGTCTATTTTTAAGGCCTCATCTGGTCTCTGTTTTAATAATTTGTTTGTCAGAAGACCCTGAAGTACACCTAGGTCTTTTTTGGAAGTCTAAATTTAGAATCATTTTTTTAATTTAAGGTTCTACAGATAATTGTTACAGCAAACATTTTATTTTAAAACGTTGATAGACTGCTATTTCTTGGAAGACAATGTAAAATATCCAGCACTGGTTATCACTTGTGATAGGAAAGAGAGTATCTTCAATCTGTTGTTATTTCTCGTTAGAAATGTAAACTTTCAATATCTGTTGTAGTTGATGACACTACTTCAAAATTACTATGAGAGGAAATTTGCTCTTGGATGCTGTGCATCATTCTCGGATTTATAATTGTTTTCACCCTAAACTAGGGCATTAGTTGAACTTTGGAGTTCTAAACAAAATCCTGTAGGTTTTTAAAATTCTGCCCCACGTGTCCAGACGCGCCCTCTCTCAATTGCTGACAGCCCAGACCTTCCGCCCAGTGTCCGGCATGCGGGGTGGGCCGGGGGCTTGTGCCGAGGCGGCCCCAGCAGACTGTCCTTCTGTCCTGGCGCTGGCCTGTCGGTGACCTGATGGCGTAGAGATGGTGGCCTCTGTGCTTGTGCCTTAGACGTGACATGCTGCTTCTTGACCCCGGGTTTGTGTTCAGTGCCACTCTAGACCCTCCACCGCTGAATTGTCACAGATTCCAAATCGCCAGGCCCCACGTGTGCGCCCCGCTCCTGTGGGGCTGACGCGGACAGGCAGCGGCGCCCTCGCCGGCTTCACCCTCAAAGCGGAGTCCTCTGAGCATTCCAGAGACCGCCGCCCTGGAGCCCAGGCTGCCGGCAGGCCCCCAGCACCCCAGGGAGGCGGTCGGTTGGTCGTGGAGGCCGTGCCCAGCCTGCGCCTCTGGAGGCGTTCTCTCGAGTCTGTTTACTTTTACCCATGGTCCAACTGTGATTTGGCGTGTGCAGCTCCCCTGTGGTCCCTTCTGCTATGCACCACGCTCTCTGGGTGCTCTTTACACTGATGGGTGCTACACTGACGGGTGCTTCAGGCAAACCAACGTGTGTGAACCACCACATCTGTGCCACTTGCTCACAGCGGCGCGTCCGTGATCGGCTAGCCGGGCCGCGCCCCCACTGCCTGCCCCTGGGCCCCCAGCTTGTCGCACGGGGCGGCTGGACTGGTACCCCAGTGGCCCGTGCGTCTCCGGTGCTGCCACCTGTCCTGGGTGTGCCTTCGCCCCAGTGCCTGCTGGAGGCGCCCCCATCACTCCACGCTCCGCGCCCAAGTGCGTGGTCGCCCCTGGCTCCGCCGTGGTCTGAACAGTTAACATGCTGGCTGGTCTCCGTCTCCTCCCTTCTCCCTCCTGGAGTGGCTCTGGGGTAAGTTCGTGTCACCGGTTCTGTCCCCTCTTACGGAGTTATGAGCCTTGTCACCGCTCACAGGAAGGACTGCCTGAAGACGCCGTGGAGCCCGCTCTTCCCTCCAGGGTGTGCCAGCCCCGCCCCACCTGCCTGTGGGCCTGGGAGGAGGACCCCTGGCAGTGCCCTGTGCCACCTGAGGCCACCACAGGACCTTCCTGCGACACCTTCCCCTTCGCAGGAAGTCCCCGCAGTTCTCCCAACCAGGATGAGCGATGGCTGTGGCCCGGTACGGAAAGCCCTTCCCTTCCCTGGCTGTCAGTCCTGGTCTGGGCTTCCGCCTCCTGGGAACACTGCAGGGACACCGACCCCCAGGGGTGCTTTCTGCAGAAGACGCCCCCTCGGCGCCCACCCAGGCGCCTGGGCCACGCGCAGCAGCGGCGGCGGGCCATGGGATGGGGCGACTGCGTCCGGCTGCATCCCCGTGGGACGGGGTGGGGACGGACGCTTGGGGTCCCCGCTCGGTGTGGGCTTATCTCCTGGGTGCTTGGACCTTCTTGGGAGGAGAGCCCGCAGGACAGAACGTGGTCCTGCGGTCGTGGCCGGGCCCCGAGTGGCTTCCCTCGAGGGCTCCCATGGGCCCTCTGGTGCTCACCGCCGGGCACCCCCAGCTCCTGTCTCTGCTCGCAGCCTGGTCCCACTTGATTGACAGCCACCTCCCACCTCCGCCTCACAGGGTCCCGCGCCCTCCCCACCAACTGAGGTGACAGTGTCCTCACAGGACGGATGGCCCAGCACCCAGCGCTTGAGAAGCACCACCCTGCCGACCCTCAGCGCTGAGTTCGCTGTCCATCGCTCCTCACTGTGACCACGTGAGGACGACTCGTCCCCTGCCCCAGCACAGCCCCCCTTGGAGGAACAGGGACAGGGGCCCCCCGGCAGGGTGGACAGAGTGCAGGGCACAGGGGCGTCAGGCCAGCCTCGGGGTTGATGCTTGTGGGACAGGAGAGCCTGGGTCCCCACACGACTCTGGGAGCCCAGGGTACAGGCACGGCATCCAGGGCTGTGGTCTGGGCCAAGTGAGGGGCCTTCCAGTGGGGGGGGGGACCACATGCCTCCTGCAGTCTTTGAAACTAGACAGACAGCCCTGGGCCGGCTGAACCGAAATCGGCCTCTTTGGAGGTGACCTACAGATTTCCCAGGCCGGGTGCCACTGAGGAGACTGAAGCGGTTGTTGTGTAAATGGTTTTCCTGTGAAAACTAGAGCAGAATTGTCCCCTGTGACCTGAGAGTGTGCCCAGGACGGGGCCTGTGCGAGGGGACCTCGGGGGGCACGGTGTGGGCCACGGCTGACCCTCCCTCTCTCCCTCCCCTCCCCCTGACCCCAGCTCTGGCCCAGCTGTGGCACCAGCTGGTGGAGCTCACCACGGGATCCCGGACCCACCCGGCACCACAGCCCTGCTCCCCTGGACCTCTCAGAGCCGCCCCCCGGGGCCCAGCGAGGCGCTGGGAGTGGGTTCCCCGCTGAGCTGACTCCTTGCCGGAGGTGGCCCACCTCGAAGGAACGGGTGGGCCGAGCCCCGCTTCCTCCAGGCGTCTGTCCTCCCTCACCGTCTAGATGAGTGAAGGGGCCCGATGTCACACATCCCCCTTCACTTCAGAAGTGTCACCATGGTGGGCTCTGCAGCTGGCAGGGAGTGTCCGGGAGGGAGGGCTCTGAGGACCAGGCCTGGGGGACCCTGGGGACCGCCACCTCCCTCCACGCGCTGGGCCGACAGAGTGGCTACGCTGCAGGACTGTCTGCTCTTGCCAGAACCGCTCAGGGGCCCGGTGGGGGCTCTGCCCGGCCCTCCAGACATGTCCTTCTGCTGGGAGTTACCTGAGCGTCGACAAGGGCTCAGACGGGACTAACGACCTGCTAGTCCAGGTCATGACGGGGTGGCTGCAGCAGCGTGGGCCGCTGGGGGCACCTGCCGTGCGTGCAGTGTCTGTGAGGGGGAGGAGGGTGCGGCAGCCCCATCCCTGCTCTCAGCCTCAGACCACATCTGTCTGCCACTTGCGAATCCCAGAGGTCCATCTTCCCCAGAGCAGGATGTGTGCTCGGGTCCAAGCCAGCGAGTTGGGTCAGGCTGCCGCTGCCTGGCATGCTGGCTCCGTCGGGCGTGGGCAGGTGAGGGTCCGGGTGGAACGGGAGAGCCAGGGGCGCGGGGAGGCTGGCCGCTGCCATCTGCACACAGTGGGGCTTTTCTCTCAAGTGTGCATGACAGAGTTTCAGGGCAAGCCTGCAAGAGGGGTCCCCAACCTGGTCCTGGGCAGGGGGCCGCTGCTGCACTGAGACCAATGTCCCACCCCCCCACCCCCAGCCGCTGTCTCCAGAGCACACACCGTTTGAACTTTCTCAGTGAAAAAGAAGTTAGAGTCCGGGGTCACCGTCCCACCCTGTGATTCACAGTGATTGACTTTTGTACCTTAGTCCCCTTAGACAAGGAAGGCATCCTTTGTCCACAAACTCAATGACTTAATTGGAAAACCCACAAAGCCGGCATTACTTCTGAGGGTCTCTGTAACAGTAGGACACCCGTGACAGAGGACGCGTGTGCACCCATGCACCTGGTGGCACTGTAAAGCCGCGCTCTTTCCTCTGACGGTACACCTCCTGTGTCCAGTTCTCTTTCCCAAAACCACCACCAAAGAAGGCCAGTCCCAACGACTCTGTTCTAATCCACCTGTGTTTCGAGTTGCCGTCTGTAGTAGCCATTAGCTGTGAGGCCCCATCTCGACAGTACAAGTGACCGTGACCAGTGATTCACGTCCGTGTTTGCTCTTCTGAGAAACCCCCAGAGGCAGCGTGAGTGGCCACTGAGCAATAACCATTGTTAACGGAGTTCACCACGTCTGACTCTGACAGCATTATCACTTTGTAGACTTTGGTTTACTGTACATTGTGTGTGGTTTTATTTGGTATTTATTTGTGTTTTGAGGTCTTGCAATGTTTTTGTGTTTCTGATGCTAATAACTAAAGTTTGTAAGAGTGCAGAATGCAAAACTCTGAAATGCTCAACTGTCTTATTAGAGGAAAATAAACCTGCTTCGGGACTCTCGGCCTCTTCCTCCGTCGGCTCTCAGCCTGCTCCGGCGGCCCCGGGGCGGGCCCCTGGACTCGGAAAGGCTCGCACTGGTTCCCGGGCCCCTCCCACCAGTTCTGAGAGGCTTGGAGCCAGGGCTCATGTTCCTGTTTGGCGCTGGGCCCTGCAGGTTTGAGGCTGGGCCTCCCTGCGGCCTCGCGGCCTGCCCTTCAGGCAATGGCTCGGATCCTGGGCAAGTCTTTGGGGCGAGCGGGCGTGGCCCCAGCCTCCTGCAGAGCCGTGTGCCCGGTGCGGCTGTGGGTGGAGCTCCAGGCCTGGATGCACCACGTTACCTGCTGTGCGCCTGGGCACGCTGCGTTTCCTCACCTGTGGAATGGAAGGGCATCCCACCTCCCTGGAAACAAGGGAGCTGCAAGAGGGTGACAGCTAGGTGGCAGTGCAGGACAGCAGTGGGGTTCCAGGCAAGGCCACAGGGTCAGACAGGACTCTTAACAGCCACCACGCCCTCAGCACCTTTGAGGCCAGCTCCTGTCCTTGTGGTGGCCCAGGACCGGGAAGCCCTGC